AAAATTCTATGCCCACCTCCTTCCGTTTCCTTAAGCAGAGTGTGCTTCTGACAGAAAATTTTAGAATGAAACGTTCTGTGTCATTTGGCTCACCCCAGGTCAAGGAGTGTTTGTAACTTCTGCCAAATGGTTTGGAATCCCATAGCTTGCCCCTGAAGTGGATGTTTCTTACATAGAGAAATATTCTTTTTCTCCAGGAAAACAACTTTTTTGCATATTCACAGAGCTTCAGGTGCTGAAAAGAAAGAACAGATATCCTTGAAACAGGTGTCTGGCATCAGTGGTTGTTAGGAAAATAGGATTTTCAGTGGCCATGTAAACTCTTTAGGGTCTAGGATTATTTTGACTCTTGTTTTTCCCTCAATAGACAAGAAACTGGGAGTGAAGAAGGAGGAGATACTGAGTGTCTTATAAAGATTACTCAGCATTGAACAGTGGCAAGAAGTAGCCATTACCCAGGCTAAGTTGTACCTTAAGGAGTCTGGAATATTGCTCAAGGATTAGTAGCACTTTCAGAAAGGTATTAACTAGTACTGGCTCTCACCTAGAACTGGGTGTCATATCTTGAATCTATCAATATTTATATGTATATTTTGCAGTACTTGGATATTGCATTAAAATAATAATGGAAAATATAATTTCTACAAATCCATTTGAGGCTCAAAGTATAAATCATTCTTCAAACAGGACATGGGTTTTATAATTATAATTTTGGGCTATTATTCTCCAGAATATAATGGCATCCAGGTGTCCATACATACTTACTGTTTCTAAAGGCAACATCATTTAAACAGTCTCCAAATAAAGGATTTATGGAGCCTTACTGGGAACCCAGTAAGATCCTATCTGAATATAAACTGCTTAGAAGAGAATAAACCCCCAGGAGTCAAGGAGTAACCTAATTGTCCTCTTGCCATGCGGAGAGTAGAAGTTTGAATCTCAGTTTTCAGCTCTTTGAGTTGAAAGATCAACTCATCATTCTTCTGCAGTTAGGATTCTGCTATCAGCACAAGCAGGATGAAGTCTGGGCCAAAATGCTGTCTGCAAAGCATCTTCCAAAACTCTTAACATCATTAGCACTGTCCATTTGGGTATTTTAGGAGCCAAAGATGGGAGTGGCCACTAAAGAACCCTGACTGGGGATTGTGGCCATATGATAGAGCATAGAAAAACAGGGCAGTACTGTGTGTTTCTCTATTGGCTTGTTAGAGCTGGGGCTCGTGGATGAGCAATTCGCTCTGTTCGGCCTCCATCCAGGATATCAGTGCCATTGGGCAGCACTGGGAAGTGTGGTCAGAGGGAGGTGTCGCTAAGATTGAGCCTGCCCAGGAGAGGTAAGGTCAAATAACAACATGATGTTCATTAGTACAGCGAAGAATGTGTTGTGCGTGTATGGAAACACAGATTAGATAAATGAGAGGGTCTATTAGTAAGCTGAATTCTGTCAAAGAAAGGATGCTTGGGGAGAAAGAGGAGTGTTCATATGAGGCCAGGAAAACTTAACAGAACAGAAATATTAGCGTGTTGGTTCTTACAGGAAAACCTATTTGGACAGAATGGGAAAGGACAGAACTGGAACGTGGATGAATATGGAGAAAATGTGATAGGAGATACAGGCATGAATATCCAATAGGTGCCAGGAGATACTTCAGTGGATACAGTTGGTGTCTCGGGGGATTCCAGTGCTGTCATAGTAGGCAATTTCAACTTCTAGACTAGAAAAGTCATAGTAGTATCAGTAAGGAAAGATACTTACCCTTGGATGCCGAGTCAAATCGTTTCTACATACCTTTCTGGATGAAAAACAGTGACAAAAAGCTAATATGGACCTAGTAAGTGGAAATGAATCAAGTATAATTAAGTTATATATAAATTATATAGATTGTAGTTATATAGAGATGTTGGAATTGCTAGACCAGACTAAGTTAATGGTCACTCCATCTCCTGCTTCCCATTTCTGCTGCTTTTCCTGCAAGCGTTTCGGAAGAAGCTGTAAACTTTATAAACGCATCTCATTTTCTGATAATGCAATGTGGAGGAAAATTCTTTCACCCTAGCTAATTATCAGCGTGCCCTATGAAGTAAAATAGAATTGAGAGTCCTGGTGTTTTACCCTACACATAAACAAAACGTAATTTGTGAACAGGTAGTGCTTTACTTGTCTGACTAATTCTTACATGGTTTCCTAATGAAGATGTGATAACATCAAGCAGCCAGGCATTCCAAAGACTCAGTGTTGCACAAACTGGGATTTCCTGTTTGAGTCGCTCTTGTTGTATTACAAAGCCCTGCATAATTCATCATCATACATGATCCATTTACACAGTCACAGGTCTTCTTGCCTTTCTTCTTTCTAAAGTTTATATCATCATAATCTTTTTATTTCTCTATATGGAGATTATGATAAAATCAATCACTAATTGTTATTTGGATCTTTTTCTTCTGAAAATTCTCTGGGTCTGCTGTATGCTGCTTTTTTTGTTTTTGAGATAAGGTGGTATTTAATAATACTAGAATGTTTTCAGCATTATTCTCTATCCTCTTCATATAGATTGGTGGGCCTCTACTTGATTGCTCTGTCATAAGCTGTTCACAGTGATGGCTGAAATTATCGGCTTTTTTCAAGTTGCAGCTAACTCAGAATGTACAGTAAGCATATGCCTTTTAAACTGTCCTTTCTAGTGCAAAGTACTCAACTGGCTGCAACTAAATAAAGTAAGTGAACATGTTGGAAGTGGGGTATGAGCACGTTTTTCAACAGACTCAAAGGATGCAAAGCCATAGTTTAAACCATTTGACTGAGCAAGGGGTCAATTCTAAACCTCAGTTCAGCCAACACAAAGGGCCAGAAAAGCAGATGGACCTTCACATGCTGGATCCAGTTGCCACAGAGCTGCTGTGCCATCCGACTCTCTGTGGATTATGGGTTCAGGGACATGCCTAGAGCAAGATGCTGCAATTATATACCTTGTGGACAGCCTCTTGGATCGTACATAACTAGCCTTGTGTTCCAGTAACCTTATGGAGCCAAACCAGCTCTGCCTGCCTCAGGATCAGGGAATCACAGATTGCTTCTTCCAGCAGTGCCCAGTGGGTATTGAGGAAAAAGCTCAAACTTAGTACAAGCAAGACTGAAATGCATGGTTCCAGATCTGTAACTGCAGATGTCTATTCCTTTCATCTTAAACTTGCCTACAAGAGCACATACTGACTATTTTGTTCCACTCAAACAATCATTTGCAGTGTCTGGAATGTCTGATGTGTATATGAAGGATACCATACCAATGTGTGTATGAAAGGGGTATCATAACAATTCAGTCCCATAAAAATATGCTGTAAGAGTGGAAGGTGAGACGAAAGAAGCAAAAGAAAATTGGTTAGTGTCTGGGGAGCCCTCAATGAGAAAGAGTAGATGATTATTAAATTAGAGTTGTATTAAAATATCAACTCAGTAGTGCGTAAGCTGAAAGAGCAGCAGACATTGATATGCTCAGCAGGCAGACGCAGCGAGATCAAACATCAACAGAGGACATGAATAATTCTGCAGAAAATAGGAAGGATTGGAATATGGAGAACTAGCAAAACAAATTGAGGGGGCGAAAAAGAGTAAAGAACCCAAAAAGGAAAGGAAAATCCTCATTTTTTTCTTAGTTACAGCAATGTCCTTTTAAGTGAAACCAGCTGAACTACGGTGCATTCATAATTGGCTTATTGTGATTCCTAGTGAATCTTTTAAATCTTACCTAGTGAGGCTGATGAAATATAGTGCGATTTTACACTACCTCTTACCAAAATAAAGATGATTTGGTATAGCTCAGTAGCTATGGTACACACAGCAACACAACACAACAAATCTTTGACTGAAATAGTCATCAGAAAAGAAAGAAAAGAAGCATAGAAGCAAGAAACAAAAAGGATCCATAAATGGCAAGATTTTTATTTCAGAAAGGCTGAGGAAAATGTACATGGTCCTGACATGTAGAGCATTCCTTGCAAGGAGAAGCTGTACATGATGAGAAGGGTCATCCATTCCAAAAAGAGAGTAAGGGAGAACAATACCATCGGATTCCTGGAGGATTTCTTAGCAATAAGGATATGTGCATCAAATCCATTTGAAACTAAACCAAATGTAAAATAGCTAGTCTGAGAGAAGTCGTAAGATAGGACATAAGCATTAAGCCCATAATCTACCAAAGTAGAAACATAACATGGAACTAT